CCCCCCCCCCCCCCCCCCCCCCTTCTCAAGAAGGGGGGAAAAACTCCAAAGAACTGCAGGCCAGTCTGTCACCTCTGTGCCAGGGAGCAGAGCCTCCTGAAGGCCCTACTAAGGCATATGTATATAATACAGCCTATTTTAATAAGTACTTCTGAAGAAGTTGCCATCAAATTTCAGTTGATTAGTCAATTTCAATTCAACTCATTTCTGCATGTAAGAATGCTAGTGGAAAGAAATGGCTGTCTCCATGGGATGAAAAGTTTGAGAAGAGTACTCCCAAAGAACAAAAGTTCCCTGCTCAAGACCCTGACAACTGCATCACAGAGCTGATACAGATTTCTTGGTAACCTTTCTCACACCTGTTAGACAATCTCCTGTCTTTTGAACACTGTTCACAGTTTGTGAGAATTTAATCTTCAATCTTGGTGCAAATTAAGTGTAAGTAGTTTCCTTTCATTTTAGGATCACGTGGTTTCCAAGCTGTTATTTTAACAATGTTCTGGCAAACTGTAACAAGTAATAGCAGGAGCTGCATAACTGTTGTGCACAGAGAATCCAGGCACCAGTGGAAGAAAAGCTTTTATTATTTGAAGGTTTTACAGTGTAAAATTATAAAACCTCTAATCACGCTTGATTTTTAAACAAATTCAAAAGTGCAGCTTAAGAGAAGCAAAATAAAGAAACTAAGTAATTAAGAAATCAAGATTTTTCTAACTGTGGTTGGAACATCTGCCAACAGCTGAAATTCACTGTCCTAGCAAGGCAGCTGGTTATTTGTAAAGGCCATTTGCTTTTGATCTTACTGAGGGATGGTTATACTTTGGAAGTTTTTAACTTTGGAAAAATTAAATCTTTTTAATGCAATGCATTGGTACAATGGATAGGTACTGACTTTGGTTTTATTACCACGTTTCTGTGAGGGATGAGAGCCAGACCCAGCCAGATAGCTGCACAGTGACACAGCAAACAAGCTCCAGAGGCACTCAGCACAACTAAGTCAGCCAGTATCTCTTCCAGATATTATCAGTTTCATGCAGAGTATTTAATTATTCTCCTGCTCTAAAAGCCAGCCTTGGGTGTCATTTAAAAGATACATTTATTACGTAACGGAATGACAGAAAGAATTATGAGTTCTCATCGTGAGGCAAGTCTTGAGAAATCGAATTACCAATTACTCTGCCACCGCAGGCCCTTTCTGGCCTTTTTATATCACTTCAAGAGCTCGCAGCGCCACCTTCTGTTCAGCGGTTGGAATCACGAGCGTCAGCAGCCGGAGGGCTGCTGCAGGACAGCGTTCATACCGATCTGCCGGGTTGGGGATGAGAAAAATCCATGTTTTCTCTTTGAACAACTCAGCGTGTCATACCTATAGAGCTGCTGCTCTTCCAGAAGTGCAATCATATAAGTAGCCAGAACATCGCTGCCAAAGTGGCACACATCCAGAATGTGACACAAAGGATGTTTTGCTACATGCATATGGTAGCAGCGCCTCGTGCACTTTTTGCAGAAAGCACCATATTTCCTACTGAGATCTCATAGAGCGCACTAAGAATGCTTTCACCAGGAAAACAGCACACAAGGGGGAATGGGAAGATAAACTGACTTTGGTAAACTTATTTCATAGGCCTTGCTAAAATTCACTCGTATCATTTTATGATCTTAACTTAAAACAATGCAATTATAAAGAAAATATCAAATACAAATTATTGGAAATAAAGAGCAACTCACTTTAACAGCTCATCCCCAAATATGAAGGATATGAGACTGTAGGGATAACAAAAAATAAATTATATGCAGAAAAAAAAAATGAGTCTCTTTCAATTGTGTTTTGGGGCAGGGCAAGGGGAGTGACAAATGAGCCATAGGCATTTTGTGTGTTGATTGGACTTCTTTGCCTAATAGTAAGACTCATGAAGAACTTTTATTTACATCTTGTGTAAGTATGTGAGCTGGCAGAGTACTTTTAGTCAAAGCTACAACTGAACTTAAAATATATCTGGCTAAAATCTAGAGAGCACTAATAGTGTTTCTAATAGGGCACTTAATAGTTCTATGTCCTCCTGATATTGTGGCATGTAAATGTGCACCCAATGCTTGAGGTGAGGTCACACCAAGCACAGCAGGACAATCCCATGGCCCAGCTGGCAGTGCTGGGCCTGGGGCACTGCAGGTCACAGGTGGCCCTTTGGGCTGCCAGAGGAGCTGCCATCTCAAATTCAATTTGCTGTCACTTGAGCTTCATGAGGGGCTGCACTTCAGCCTCCTATTCTCCATCCTGTACACAGAGCCAGGCCTACTCTGTTTTAGGTGCAGAGCGCAGCAGTTGATTGTGCTGATTTTTAACACGGTTGGTGACTGCCCAGCCTAATTTATTAGAATCTCTCTGCAAGGCAGGAAGGAGTCAACATCTCCCCTTAATGCAGTATCACCTGCAAACTTATACAGCATGCATTTGAGTCCTGCACCCCGATCATTTCAATAACACTGACAACAACTTGGAGCCCTGTGGGGTCCCATTAGCATCTGGCCGTCGTGCAGATGGACCAAAGCCCTTTGGGCTCAGCCATCCGGTTACTGACCATAGTATATATTTATCTTTGTCAGAAGGACGTTGTGAGAAACAGTATCAAAGGTGTTGCTGGAAAATCAGTAGTAAGTGAGATTTTCAGCTGCTGCTAAGTTGGGGAAGACCACTCAAAAAGCCCTCTATACGCACCAACCCTTCTCCAGAGCTCTCTGGAAGGGCTGCCTCCGTTGTCTCCTGCTTTCTCCCGCGCTCCAGGACAGCGGCCTGCTAAAGCCAGACACCGCGCCTCGGCGCCCGCAGGAACACGCGCTCCGGCCGCAGGGCGGTGGGATGCCGCCCCCGCGCCGGCTGACCAATCAGACATGAAAACCTCAGCGCATCTTCTGTGATTGGGAACGAGACTTCGAACTCGCCCAATGAGAAGACTGCGTCTACAGAGCGGAGGGGAACTCAGTACACGAAGCCGTGATTGGCTGTAGGGCGCGCTGGCGGGATGGCGGCCGTGGGAGCGGCGGCGGGGTTGGGGAGCGCTGACTTCTCGGACCTGCGGGAGATCAAGAAGCAGCTGCTGAGCGTGGCGGAGCGCAGCCGTGAGCGCGGTTTGCAGCACAGCGGGAAGTGGTGAGCGCCACGGACCGGGCGGGCGCGCCCCGGTGGGCACCGTGCTAACGGCCGTCTCTCCGCATAGGGCCTCCGAGCTGGCGTTCGCCCTGGAGCCGCTGCTGCTGAGCGAGCTGCCGCCGCCGTCTGCGCTCACGGAGGTAAGCACCGGGCGGAGTGGCTCGGCCGCCTGCCGCGCCGTTAGCGAGCGTCAGCGCGGGGCGGGGCCGAGCCCGACTGCGTTCGTCGGTGCGGGATGGCTGGGGCGTGCAGGGGGTTGTGCAGAGCTTCCCGTTGGCAGAGCCGCGACCTACTGCTCCAACCTGTCTCCAAACCTGCTACGGAGAAGTGCGATAGCGGTATTCTTAACAGCTGCTGTGCAGGAGACGTTTCTGAGTGCTGGTCTCTTTACAGCGCTGTTAAGTTCCTTTTTGTTGTATATTTTTTCCGGGAAGGTGGACAGACCTGAGTGTACTTCCCAGATGAAGCCGTTTTGCTGTGTCTTAAATGAGAAATTTGTAAGTTAAATTTGAAATCACACCACGTAGCATTCATCTTAGCTAAGGGTTTTTAGCTAAGGTTTAAAAGTTACTGCGGTCTAAATTATTTTCTGTCAGTAAAGTTGTGCTCTTTAGGACACAGGAAAAGTGAGTTGTGTCGTAATCAACACCGCCATAGACATACTGTAGGACTTGTAGGTGTAATACTCCTTAAGTTATTGCAGTGTAACATGTCATAAATGCATTTCACAAAAACGTTTGAGGTCCATCTAGTCCCCCTCTCCTTACTCCAGCAGGACAACTCACAGCAGGTTGCTCAGGACCATGTCTGGGTGTTCTTTGAGGTTCTCAGGGGGGGAGACACCAGAAGCCCTGGTGACAGTGCTTTGTCACCCACACAGTACGAAAGTGCTCCCTGATGTTTACAGAGACTGCTTTGTTTCAGTTTGTACCTGTTTCCTCTCGTCCTGTCACTGGACTGCACTTAGAAGGGCTTTGCTCATTCCTCTTTGTAGCTTTCCTTCAGGTATCTATGTACATTGATGAGATCCCCCCCGCACCTTCCCTCCCACAACTTTCCTCTGAACCAGTCACAACTCTCCAAATTTTCTCATATTTGAAATGCTTTAGTCATTTCATTTTCATGGTCCTTTGCTGAACTCTCTCCTGTATGTCTGTCATTTCTGTACTGATGAGCTCAGAAGTGGACACAATATTCCAGATGTGGCCTCGTCAGTGCTGAGTGGTGGGGGGAGGATTACCTACCCTGACCTGCTGACAACGTTTTACATAGTTCAGCCCAGGATACCCTTGTCCTTCCTTGTGGCAAGCTGGCTTGTGTACAATTTGGTATCCCCCAAGACTCCCAGGTTCTTTTCTGTCAATAAATTGTTCAAGGCATAGATACCAAGGAAATGTTGGTGTTTAAATGAGCAGGTTAATATTGTTGGATGTGAAATTCTTGAGTACTTTTCTTATTTGTTATCATTTTACTTGAACAGCTAATTCTTGCCTTCTGGCGACTTGCCACAGTTTATCTTTTGGAACCTAACTGTTTATTTCAAATGTTTCCAGCCTGTCAGAATCCTTGTTCTCCCATGAGTTCCAATGGTGTGAAGGAGTGAAGAGAGCTTTCTGACAGTACTCAACTCAAATGTGAACAAAAAGCCAGTTTTGTGGTTGCATTTTTGTGCAGTTTTTTCTCTTAACTTTCCAGGCAGCTTCATTGATATGCTTGTAAATGGTAAGTGGGTGATTTTCCTACCTGATGTCAGAATTTCTAAGGTATTTAACTCTTCTTTGTTCTTGCAGGAGGATGCTCGGGATCTGGATGCCTACACATTAGCCAAATCTTATTTTGATCTAAAGGAATATGACAGAGCTGCATATTTCTTACGGGGCTGCAAGAGTCAGAAAGCTTATTTCTTGTATATGTACTCTAGATATCTGGTAAGATAGAAGAAGTTGCCTTTAAGCACTGAATTCCTTGGCTTTGCTTCCTTTCCGCATGTAGAATGTACCATGCCTTATATATGCTGTTGTAGAATAATTTTGATTTTCCTCTGTTCTCTACAGTCAGGGGAAAAGAAGAAGGATGATGAGACAGTGGATAGTTTGGGTAAGGCTCTACGGTCAAGGAACGTGAGATGATATGATGAAACTTCCAATAACACATCTTCATGTAAATCATTTTGGTTTTATGACTTTTCCATTGATGTTTGAGTAATAGTGGGCTGTAACATAATTTGCTTTCGTTTTCTCTCAGTTGATTGGCTTAATACAGTTTACAGAATTTCTTTTCTTACTTATTCTATTAAACTGCTAGTCATTGGACTAGGAGATTTTATTTTTGTAACAGAAGAATAGTCACGGACTCAGAAGCTTTCTGGTCGTGTTGGTGATGATTCTGAATGTACCCTTGGCTTCACAGTTAACGTACTGAGACTCCTGAATGAAAGCTGGGTGTTTGACTTTCTTCACATGCAGGACCACTGGAAAAAGGACAGGTGAAAAATGAAGCTTTACGAGAGCTTAGAGTTGAGCTCAGTAAGAAGCACAAAGCACAGGAACTGGATGGATTTGGCCTTTATCTGTAAGTGTCTGCACATGTTCTTAATGTATTTGTCTACACTGATGTGGACGTGCAGTTTTATGAGTGATTAATTTGCTTTACAGGTATGGTGTTGTGCTGCGAAAGCTGGACCTGTCTAAAGAAGCAATAGATGTATTTGTTGAAGCTACTCATGTCTTACCTTTGCACTGGGGAGCTTGGCTGGAACTTTGCAACTTGATTACAGATAAAGAGATGGTAAAACTTGGGTGATGTCAAGTGGTTATAACAAGTTACAGAGTTTAGCCTGATTCAGTTGTCAGAAGACTAGTGTTGCCCACTGCTGTATTCTGTGAGACTCTCAGACAGGGCAACCCAGGATTGTAAATTATATTGTTAAAGCCACTTGTGACATGAATGAGTTCATCCTGAGGTTGGTTGTGGTTTTTTTGTTTGTTTGTTTGTTTGGGTTTTTGTTTTGTTTTGTGTGTGTGTGTGTGTGTGCTTGTAGTTTGTGTGTTGTTGGTTTTTTTTTGGGCGGGGGAGAGGGGGAGAAGAGCATTCTAGTTCTGCAGTTCCTACGAAGTTTTTTGTGAATTGAGGGTATGTGTGTAGAATCACTGTTTGCAGTTTTTTTTTTTAATGACTGGAAATTTGTGCTTTTCCTGTCAGTTACAATCGTGCAAATTATTTGCAATGATATGGGAGCAGCAGGCACCACTGAACAAGATAAGCCTTTAATAAGTCAATTACTTTGTTACTTACCAAGTAAAGCACAGAAAGCTTGGATCTGTAATAGGAAACGACTTACAAGACCTGATGTTCATACTGTATGTGATTTGGGGAGATTACTTTGAATGTCCTCTGATAGGGTTTTGTGGCTTAGATGCCTATTAGTAATGGGAGTGTGTCTCTTGAATTTAGTCTTATCCTGAGAGAATCTAAGATACTCTGATACAGCTCCATGATGTGAAATAAAATGTGCTTCTGGGGATCATCACTGAGAAATTCATTTCAGAAGAGCAAAACTGATTCAGGCTAAAACACTAATGTAGATATTCCTTTGTCAAATACAAAATCTCTGTGAGATGAACTGTATCGAAGAATTGAACTTTCATGTAAAAGGTGATTTTTGTCTTTATGCATGGGGTTTATGAGACCACTCCTGTAATTCTTCAGTCAATTCTGGCTGATAGGTATATTTTTGGAAAGTAAAGAGGGTGCAGAAGAGAACCTTACTGATCTTTTGAAGAACAGGAAATTAATTTTTGTGAGATTATTTAGATTATTCTCTACATGTAGCTTATTACAAGGAAAAAAAAAGACAAAAAACCTCATGTGTGTAATAGTGATGGGAAGAAAATAGTCTTTTAAAGGAGTCTTGAATTTAATGTAAAAATTAAGCCAGTAGCTGAAGGAGAAAGCTGGTGCCATCATCTTTGAAAACAATCATTTCTTCACCAATTGACCAAATGAAAAATCATCAGTTTTTTTATTTCAAGTCAATGGAGTAGATTGGGAGTGACTAAATGGAATTATGTAGTCCATACTGTAATACCTCTTAGAATAGGCATCTCGATGCTCTTTTTCATTTTCCAGTGTTCTTAATTTCTAGACGTTTTTTAGCCTCCACTGTGGAAGAGCTCAATATTAATTTTTGGTCCTAATACTGTTCTTTCATAGCTGGTGTTATGGCCTAAGAAAGCGCTTACAGGAAAGTCTTCTGCCTCAAGACTGTCTACTAGCTCATGGGAGGGAAGATAATGGATTCTTTGCCACAGGTGGCTCTTAGAATACTACTGATTGTCATCTCTTCCTCCTCTTCTTTGGTTCTTGCTAGTTGAAGTTCCTGTCCTTGCCAGATACATGGATGAAAGAGTTCTTTCTTGCACACATTTATACAGAGCTCCAGCTGATAGAGGAGGCTCTGCAGAAGTATCAGAGCCTCATTGATGCAGGATTTTCTAAAAGCACATATATCATCTCTCAGATTGCAGTTGCCTACCACAATATACGAGGTCAGTGATATTTACTAATAGGAGTAAGCCTTTTAATGCAAACTTAGCCTTTGTTGTTCTTGTTCTCACATCTTCTCTTCTTTCTTCAGATATTGACAAAGCTTTATCTATCTTTAATGAGCTAAGGAAACAAGATCCTTACAGAATAGAAAATATGGACACTTTCTCCAACTTGCTGTATGTCAGGGTAAGCACCCTTTCTGTTGTTTGTCCATGATGATACTATTTTCAGAGGTAAGTTAAACGCTGGCAAAGCAATTGCTGTTACCTAGTTTCTCTGAACATAAGCTCTCAGCTTCTGTTTGCATCCGTTTTGTGGAGTTGCAAAGCAGAAATGTGTGCATTGTCCACTGCCTAGGTCTTCTTTGTCTGAAACTGTAATATGATCCTTTACTCATCACCTTCACTTCTTTGTTTCACTAGAGCATGAAGCCTGAGCTGAGCTACCTGGCTCACAATCTCTGTGAGATAGACAAGTATCGTGTTGAGACCTGTTGTGTAATTGGTGAGAGCCAACCCTTTTATGTGTTCTTATTGCGCCGTCTCCAGGCTTGGGAAGCAATTTTAGTAATAGCTGTGAAAATGATGACCCGGCAGAGCCATCAAAAACATTTGGTGAATGTGATTTCAGGCAGCCTAAAAAGTAGAGCAGATGGGAGTACCACCTTTCCCACATTCAGCTTTGAAAGAGCTGCTGTAATACTGTTAGAGCTGAAAGTAGTTAAGAAAACATTATGAAGGCCCATGCAGCTGATAATTCCCTTTAGTCCTCAAACTCCAGCAGAAACAGTTGTGCGTCAAGTCTGGGAAGTAAATTTTTTTAGATCAGACCGTGAGTTTCTGAGCAGATGATGGGATCTTAACTGATAGGTGCAGCTGGTAAAGGAGTTGGTGAGAACACTGGAGAAGATACAACTACTAGGACTCTTGAGGTTTCAGGCACATCTGCCTGTAATATATCCTGCTCAAATTACCTACTGCCTCTGTAGCAGAAATGCTAAGGCAGAGCACGAAGCAGTGATTGAGTACCTGGTGGGAAAGCAGGGCCAACCCAGCGAGCTCAGGTGCATGCAGTGTACCTGAGTGACCAGAAGGGGTGGAGCCAGGATCCCAGACCTCATTTAAGGGTTGACAGTGGAGGTGAGGGTATCCCTTCCCAAAGGTAAGCAAATTTTATTCATTTTTGTGTCCATGGCTGCTGCATTTGGGTTTATCGTTGTTTGCTGCAGCCTGGGACTTTGCCACTCTGCTATTATTGCTGAACTTTCCATCACATTATAGCATTACGTACCTCCTAACTTAGGTTATACCTCTTCCATCTGTTTTTTGTTTCTTTTTTAGTTCTGCAATTGTTTTCTATTTATTTAAATATTGTGACTTTTTGCTTTAGGAAATTATTATAGCTTACGTAGCCAGCATGAAAAAGCAGCACTGTATTTCCAGAGAGCCTTGAAACTGAATCCTCGTTATCTGGGAGCCTGGACGCTTATGGGACATGAATATATGGAAATGAAGAACACATCTGCAGCTATCCAGGCTTATAGGTATCAATCATGCTGCACACAACATTATTTGTATATATTTGGGGTGAATTAAGGAAAAAAAAATGGTACTTAGTCTTTTGCCCAACTCTGATCCTGACTGCTTTCTGACTACGTTGTTTTTTTCTCTTTGGCAGGCATGCAATAGAGGTGAACAAAAGGGATTACAGAGCCTGGTATGGTTTGGGGCAAACCTATGAAATCCTTAAAATGCCGTTTTACTGTCTCTATTATTACCGACGGGCCCACCAGCTCAGGTAGAGTGGGAAACGTAGCCATGTCAATGGGCATTCGCTCATATAATCACTGAAGTTGAAAGAGACTGCTAACATCATGTAATCCAACCTCTCTCCTGATTTCACCAAGGATAGATAACTCTATCATTTTGCATTTGCTGTGTGCATGACAGCTTCTGACCTCCACATCTTCCATAGGTTGTTATTTGTAAACATCTAGCTAGCAGGCGATTCCCCTGGTAGGCTGTCTTACCATCTGATGTCTGCTTGTTGAGGAATTTGTATACAGGAGCTATACAGGGGTAGAAAGAAGAGTATCAGCACTATTTGGTTTGCAGTGTTACTATTCCAAACTCTTAGTTATGCTAATTAGCTGTTAACATATCAAACTGTATGTTTGAGAGTATTGTCCAAATGCTTTTTGAATTCTGTCAGGCTTGGTGGTGTGAGCATTTTGCTTGGGAGCCTGTTCTGATGCCTGAGGTTAATAAGTGAAATTTTATGTAAGAGAAGATGATGGACACTGCCAGATGCGGGTTTGCTTCCCCTCTTGTCTCCCCCCTGCAATATCAGCTGGCTGTCCATTAAACTACAGTTAGGAATTTTTATTTTTTTTTTTTTTACAGACCCAATGATTCTCGTATGCTGGTTGCTCTAGGAGAGTGCTATGAGAAACTCAATCAGTTGGTGGAAGCTAAGAAGGTAAGTGAGACACTTGTAGACACTAGGTGGAGTTGCAGTTAAATAGTGCGGCTTGTGCTACTGGAAATGTATATAGCACGTTAGGAGCTTACTGAAAACGTTTGTTGCAGTTAAAATGGGAAATTCTATAAATAGAGTAGCAGAGAGAATTGCATGCAGCTGATACGTGACCTTTTGCTTTAAAGCCATGTAGTTTTCTGTTTCTGTCTTGCTCGCGTGCATCATGATGTAGAGTCATTTTTCTTGTGTGCTTGACTAACTCTTCTTCCTTGATAGTGCTATTGGAGGGCTTATGCTGTGGGAGATGTGGAGAAAATGGCATTGGTGAAACTAGCAAAGTGAGTATGTATTAGCACTGAATTGTCAATATTGTGTTTAAAAAGCACTTTGATACCTAGTGATAAAATGGTAGATGGAAAACAAGTGCAGCTGCTGGTAGATAGTATTGCTTCTGGAGATGTGTAATAAATGTCACCTTTAGAAGGTCTGCGGAGACTACAAACTGTTATCCAGCTTTAGCTTTAAGTTTCTGTCAGGGCAAATAGAGAAGAAACTGTGGGATGCATTACAAGGGACTTACAAATCATGGGATGATTTCAGTGCTGTCAGTGTTAGAGTGAAATTTAAACCAATTCATGGTGCTAATGCTTTATAAAATCATAGATGGATTATTTCATCCCCATCTCCTTTTCCTTCCACCCTTTTTTTCTCCTGATATACGAATGTGACATTTAGCATAGGATCTAATGTGAAATAAATGTGAACAGTGATGTTAACACCAACTTTTGATTGGGAAAAAAATACATGCAAGGGGGGGGGAAAAAGTGAAGGGGAAGGAAATTGTTGCAAACCTCCACGCAATTCCAGCCCAGTCCACAACACCTTATCAGCACCCGGCACTCTGCACCCCTACCCAGCACAGGGAAACGAGAGACGCACTCCATGGGGTGCAGCTCAAGTGCCAATTTAATGCTGCGCAACAACTGCCTGTATGCTGTGACACGCGACCGCCCCGTGAAGCCGTGACCCGTTAAGTGCCACCCAGGACCACCCCTGTAACCAACACCACCTTAGCCCACGTACCCCCCACACAAGAAATGGGCAGGTAAAAGATGGAACTGCTGTATAAAGATTTTTTTGGAACATGGAGAAAGAACAAACTCTGGAAGAGTAGGATGTAAAAACTCTATTACAGACTTGGAATGTAAGAGAACAGACAAAGGTTCCTGCTTTAATTGTATCTGCACTGCTTCTAGCAGGTGACACCTGACTGACTTCCTTCCTGATAATGTAGCTGTTCTCAGGCTGGATCATTTCTTTCTATGAGGACAGTACATGCATGTTTTGCAAATTCTTAAGGAAAAAAAAAGTGGCTCTAGTTAAGGTCAGACTTCTCATAGGTTCTCATAGACCAGTGAAGTCTGACAAGGTGATCTTGTTCCAGTGGCTATTTCATATCATTTATTTATGTATTTTTCTAGGCTGCATGAACAGCTGAATGAATCTGAACAGGCTGCTCAGTGCTATATCAAATACATCCAGGATATCTATTCCTGTGGGGTAAGACTATCTCTTGGAGAGCAAAGGAAAAGTAAACACGGTGTAGAACTACCTTGGAAAACACTCAGGCTGTTTTTACCCTCTTCACTGTAGGAGATAGTGGAGCATCTGGAGGTTAGCACTGCCTTCCGTTACCTTGCCCAGTACTACTTCAAGTGTAAGCTCTGGGATGAAGCCTCAGCTTGTGCTCAGAAATGCTGCTCATTCAATGATGTGAGTAGTTGCATGATTCCTGGGGTCTTACTAGGGGAATAACTGACTTTAATCTTGGCTATCCTATGAGTAGACCAATCTTTCACTGAATGAATGAGAGCTATCTGCTGCGTAGATGAACAATTTCATCCTGAATGTTTTTGTGATAGACTCAAGTCAGGGAATATGGCATAGATAAGTAAAACTGGATCAAGTCTCATTACTTTGGTGTTCACTAAATAAAAGAATTTGAGGCTGCAGATGGCAGCCTTAAGGCTGCTGAAAATCTTGGTGGGGAGGTGGTTAAAAGTTTAGAATGCCCCATGCTACAGTGGGGTTACTCACGTGGCTTCTTGTTGCCCATCTTGTAAATGTAGAAAGTGGGGACAAAAAGCTTGAGTTTTGTAAGTGACTTCATATTCTGAGATTTTCTGCAGCCTGTAAGTAGAAAATTCTGGACTTTTTAAAATTCCAACCTATGAGAGCCACCAACAAAGGCTGCTGCGGGGTTTGTGCCCGGCTCTTATCTGAGTTGTCTGGAACTCAAAAGAACTTGAATTTAGCTTATTTGAAGCTTCTCCAGTCTACTTCTAAATGGAATATTTGGATGGCTGCAGTAGTTGATGGTACCAGTGTCTGAAATACCCAAGTAATATGCAAATAAGGTGAAAAGAGGGAGGATTATTGTTAAAAAGTCTGACATACCTTAACGTTCTGAGGGCATTCTTAAATATCTTCCAGAATGATGGCCTTATAGAGTGACAAATTACTAACATTTAGACAGATTGTATATTGAATTTGACACAGAAAGCACTCATCCATCAGTGTGCAGTTTTTGTTTTTTACAAATTGTTTTCAGACTAGAGAAGAAGGAAAGGCGCTGCTGCGGCAAATCTTACAGCTTCGCAACCAAGGAGAGACCTCCTCCACAGAGATTGCTACTCCCTTTTTCCTCCCAGCATCCTTGTCAGCCAATAGCACTCCCACACGTCGTGTCTCCCCGCTCAATCTGTCTTCTGTTACACCATGAGCGATGCTGGTACCTCTCACCTGTGTGTTGAATGTGATGTTGTGGATGGGACTTGCAACCACCTAGTGTTTTCCAGTGAAATTTTTATGTTCAGTGTTGCCTTCATGGGTAAGGAAGGAGGGTAAAGAGCGACTGGAGCCCACAGCTGAAGACGGGTTGCCCAAATAGGCAAACGTGCAGCCTGCTTGAAAGTGCCTACTCTTATATGTGAGAACATGCTCTACTTTTCACCAAGTTATTGCGGTCGAGAGAGCAGACATGTTCCAATACATGGGTCTGCTAATAGATCATGGCAGGAGACTGACTTCATGAGTTTGTGTGCCTCTGGTCCTTCTCTGAACTTCTCTGGATAACCTTCTGTCTGCCTGGCTGCTTAAGAATTTTTGACTGTCTTGAGTTACAGAGATGATGAAGCAGTATAAGACACATAAAGACAGTTTCCATGCCTATGTCAAAGGACTGAAAAGTGTTAGGAATTTCAGACAACCACGAAGGACAGCTGTTTGTTAGAACCACAGGTAAAACAGCAGATATTTTGACTGAGTAGAAAGGCAGCCAGTAGGATAGCACAGCTTCAAAAAAATAAAATGATTAAGTTACTGTCCTCGGACTCCTTCATAGTGTAGCTTTCATGGGTGCTATAGCAGATGACAGTAGAGGTAGATACAGCCATGTGGCAGTCACAGCAGCCTGTCCCATGCTGGGCTTAGTTGTGGTGCTGCTAGCTGCCCACTTGGACTGGTGCATGCCAGCTGCAGGGCTGTGTTCACCCTGGCTGGGAGCTGGCAGGTGGGGGTCTGCATAGGGGCTGCCTTGTAATACCCACAGGTGAGCCTGGTTCAGTTTCAGACCCTGGGAGAAGGTGCCAGCCTGGAGTGTTCCCAGGGGCTGCTCTCTACAGCCAGCATGGGAGAGGCCCTTCCTGCATGTCTTAGATCTTAAGTTCTGTGCCTTGGTTATATGTGAGTTATAACACTTTTTCACATTGTCTCTGTATTACTCTTAGTGGTCAGTGTCTCAGAAAATTCAACTCTCCTTTGCCAGCTTGTGAATCCTAACTACAAACAGCTCTTAATGTATGCGGAGTCAGTGACTGGGTAACTATGTTGTACTCTAGTGTCAGGAAGTTTTATTGGGCAAAGACTGACCTGGAATAAGCACTGCTGCCATTAAGCTGTCAGTGTGGAGCAAATACATGGATGGAGTATACGAGTTACCACATAATAAACCTCCAGCAGAAGTAGACAGTAGCATAGATGAGTACAAATCCAGAACTCATAGAATCACCAAGGTTGGAAAAGACCTAAAAGATCATCCAGTCCAACCGTTCACCTCTTACCAACAGCTCCCACTAAACCATGTCCCTCAACACAACATCCAGCCTTTCCTTGAACACCCCCAGGGTCGGTGACTCCACCACCTCCCTGTGCATCCATTCCAGTGCGTGACCACCCTTTCTGAAAAGTAATACTTCCTCATGTCCAGCCTGAATCTCCCCTACCGTAGCTTGAAACCATTTCCTCTGGTCCTATCACTAATGACACAAGAGAAGAGGCCGACCCCCAGCTCACTACAACCTCCCTTCAGGAAGTTATAGAGAGCAATGAGGTCTCCCCTGAGCCTCCTCTTCTCCAGGCTGAACATTCCCAGCTCCTTCAGCCTCTCATATGGCCTATGACCCCTCACCAGCTTTGATCTGTTTCTTAAAATGGTTTGTTTCCTCTGTGTTGCAATGCTTAGCAAAAGCCAACACCGGGTAACAACAAAGAATAAAATGTGTATGTCTTCAGATTTTCTGTAAGCAGAAGAGTTTACTTTTGCAGAACAAACTCCTTACCTGAGGAGGTTCAGGTTTTTCTCCCCTGTAAAGCAGTAGAAGAAAGACAGAATGGTGGATGTGTTCATGGGCTGGCACACTGCATCTCTGAGCGTTTAGAGATGAGGATGCTTCTGAGGAACCCAAGAGCAGGGTCTTTTGTGGCCGTGGCTCTCATTGGGCTTGGCTTACACCTAAGAAGTCTTATTGCACTGCAGTTTATTTAGATCTACGGCTAGTTCCCACTGCGTCCGTGTGGGATTGAACTGGCACGTTAAAGGACGCCTTGCCGTAAAGGTCAGCGCCCTCCGGCCGGCTCTGCGGCCTTCTCGCTCCTTTCGGCAGGGCTTTCAGCTGGGGAGCCGTCCTGTGGAAAGGCGCTCCTTTCGCCCGCTGGGAGCGGCGCGTCGCGGCTCCGCCCTGACGGGCCTCTCCGCTGGAGCGGCCCGCGCCCTCGGGGGTCCCGGATTTCTCGCCCCGCCGCTGGCGCAGGGCGGCTGGGCTACGACGGGCGCTGCCACGGTTCCCCGACCCCGGCACCGCTACCAGCCGGCAGCCCCGCGCCCCCTCCGCCGCGGCGTTGCCATGGCTGCGGCGCTGCGGCGGCAGCGTCGGTGGGGCGGCGCCTGCCGCAGACCCCGGCCCGGCAGCGCAGGCCTCCGCCGCGGGGAGGCGGCGGGGCGGGCGCCCGCCCTCAGCGTCGGCGCGCAGGAGGCCGGCAGCGGCCGGGGCTGCGCGCTGGAGCCGCCGCGGCAGCGGGAAGATGGGAGCGCCGCACCTGTCCTTCGCCGCTCAGCATCGTCCCCTGTCCGCGGCACGGTAAGAGGCGGGGGCTGCCTGCTCCCACCGCGCCGCAACAATGACGGCGGGGGACCGGGACGGGAGCGGGGAGCGGGGCCGGGGCGGCGGCGGCGTGGAGGGCGAGCGATGGCACTGAGATGGAGGCCGAGGAGGCGGAGGGGAAGCAGATGGGAGTGAGGAGAGGAGAGGAGGCAGGGATGCAGGTGATGATGGCGACGGCGATGGAGGGAGAGGTGTGGCAAGGATGCAGCCCGCAGCCGTGTCGGAACCCGCCTCAGCCTCCATCCCGCACCATTGTGCTCCAGGTCCGTCATTGTCTCGTCCTCGCCACGGCACGCGGTGCTGCAAATCGCTGCCTGCGGCAGAAGGAATTTTTACGGAGCTGAATTCGATGCGCGGAGCGGCGCGGCTGCGATGGGCCTCGGTGAGATGGCACTGAGCTGGGCGCTGGCGCAGCTGAGCAGGAGCAGCTGTGATGGAACTCCCCTGGTTTATTTTTACTTGTGGAGCATCTTTGCCTGTTCAGCGTTGCACGAGGTTTATTTCTGTGTGGTTTTTTTGGAAACGCACCTGTACGTGTCTCGGAGTCTCAGAGCTGGTGGGTTTGTGGATGTGTGTGAGAACCCGCGAGATTCGCCCCTTTGTACGCGCAACACATCTTTTTTCTGTTATTATTGGACAGCTGTTAGGTGATGGAATGCGCCAATTAGGCTGATGCACAATTTACTCTTAGGTCATGGAATTGCTGCCCCTCAGCTTCATGATGGCTGCTTAGGACAGCATCATGCATTTGGGCTGGTTTATGGCACTGAACGCTCATTTGTAGACTGTTTCTGTTTTCTTTTCTGAATATACATATAAAAAAGATGCTGAGCATGCCCTGTAGGTTGGGAACATAGAGATGTGTCTTCTTCAAAATTGTAATTTGAACTCTTGTAAGGAAAAAAATAACGACGCGTGTTGTTGAAACCTTTGCGTTCTGAGCCTGCCCTGTGCATTACAGTAAGGTGATGCCTTGGGTTCTTATTCTCAGTCTCTTTCGTCTTTTGGGTCAGATTCTGTGTGTGTGCGTATACCATGCCCTGTTTAGTAATCCGGGCTTTCTGTGCCCAGTCTCCTAGGCAGAGTGTTTGATAACCTTGTCCTTGTCATATTTTGGTGGTTTTTGACAATTTCTCTTCTTCCACTGGCCATTCCCAAATATGTCTTATGAGTGAGAGCCTCTGTGTCCGCCTTACTAGGAAATGAACACAAAGTACAGCTGCATCGTGGTGGGGTGTTAAGAAGAAAGTTGTCTGTTGCCATTTGTAAATGTGCGGTAGGGTCTGTGAGACATTTTATTATCAAGTTGCTGGAAAATGCTGCATAATTTCTCTGTCATTACAATGGATAAGTAGCCCTTGGGTGTTCAAGTCAGGAAAATACTGTTGAAACACAACTGTCAGAACGGTGCTCAGAGTAATTTTCAGTTTTGTTTTCTATTCATCCAGTTGATATTACTGATACTGTGGTTTAAAAATTGTATAATAATAGCCCCCCAACTTGTGAAAAAAGATATGGTAATGGATTCTACTGTCATAAGGCTGGTGTACAGGTGTTGAAATCCAAGTAGTTTGTAAATTACAACTTTTTTCTTTTTACCTTTTTGAATGAACTTTGGGACTGACCATGCTGTGAACTCATTTTTTATTACTGTGAAATTTTTCACTAATGTGAGTGGGGGTTGCTTTGCACTGTGGTCAGTATTTATGCTTTCTATTTTCTTTGTGAAGTTGTGAAACAGCAAAATAATTCTCATCAGCTACCTGAAATTTGGATCACGTGGTCTGTCATGCTCCATATCTTCTATGTTCAGCCAGGTTTCTCTGCAACCCCTGTGCATCATAGCATCGCAATGTTTGGTTACTGCAAAATAAATGATTAAAATAATTGCTTTAATTGATTTTACGACAGTATGTTTGCAGTGGATGTTTCTATAAGAACTAGACTGCTCTAATTCCCAGGCAGGAAGCTTTTCAAAGTTCCTGTATAGATCTGTATCACTTCAACATCTGCTCTTGACTGGATTATAACAGTCGTGTTTTCCCATCTTCAGAGACAGATTCTCTGCTGCCTTCTTTTTAGTCATCATCTACGTCTGTGCAGGGCATCAGTGCAACTCTGCCATCAGCTTTCAAGATCCAGAATCTTTATTACTTGTTTTGGTATCTTTACGGTCTATTTGAATTTTTCCTTTAAAACATCAGGACTGAAAATCCAAAATGCCCCCCCCTCCCCTCCAGTCTAATTTACTTGTTGCAGGAGTTGGGGACCTGTATAGCAAGTTTATCAGCATGTTGCTGACATGAAGTTGCAACGAGCGTATTTAGCAACTTTGTGGTAAATGACAGAAAAGCTGCAGATTGCACTGTGAAGTATCCGATGAACTTGAAAGGAAAAAATAGAGATAAGCAAGTGCTTTTCTGGATGCAGGCTCTCAATTTGGATCATGGTGGGTTGCTGACAAACTGTGGCACATCCTGAAACCTTAGGGCCTGTGTGGGCTTTTTCCTGGAAGATCATGTTTGGACATTGCAGCCACTTCCCTTCACTGCTGTCAGAATAAAAGCAAGGTGAACTGAGTTGTGTGCCCATCTGCCTCGCAGTTACGTGAGAAACAGGCAAATGAATGCAGAAAGTATTTAAGTACATGACTACAGTATGAGAATACTCTCAGTGAACTGTGTAACAGCAGCCAGCAAGTAATGAATACACCCGAAGAGCCAGTATACCACAGTTCTATCTTCAGATGAAATATAATTCTGTGATGAACAATAAAACAATCAGATTAAATTTATTTTTACACAATACAGCAAAATGACTGATTTGAATTAACTGATAACCACTGATATCAGTAAATAAGCTCAACTAAATGTCCAACAAATGTGGAAATTAAAATTGAAAAGAAGAAGAAATGCAGTTAAAACTTGCGTGGAGTGTCCAGAGTAGATGAG